TTATGTAGTTCTTCTCCAAGATAATCTAACTATAACAACAGGATTAAATAATCAAACTAATGCTTGTCACATTAATGACAAATCTGTGGAAAAGTAGAGAAATACAAATACTTACAAGCTTTAATAAAAGCAGGCCCTAAACAATGTTACTTCTGTGAACTACCTCACCCTCAAGTATCAGTTTTGTAGCTGCAACTGAGGGAGGTATACTTGAAATATTCTTGATCCCAAGGTTATTGAGCAATTTATGTTTCAGCCATAATTACCGCCACCCAGCAGATTATGTGATTGGTTCAGTTTATCTCTCTGTTTGTCTGTCTGTCAGCAGGATTACTACAATATTATGGACAGATTTTCCATTTCAAATATTTTTTTTCATAGGTAGGGCTTGGTCCAACTTAGATATAATGAACTTTTGGGAAGGATCCAGATCTGATTGAAATTTAAAAACTTTGATATTGCTCTGTAGGTTCAGATGCACTGTCAAAAACATCATGACAATACTTTTAATTTGTTTGTCACACGTGCTGCTGAAGTTTGCTTTGTTTCCTTTGTGTTTCCTTTGTGTGCTACGCAATAAAAGCCATGTTAGGTTTTACTGGTTGAAATCTTTAATATTAATATGCAGCAATTACTTGGAAGCAAGCCGGCAAGCAGTAATCATTTACAGGAACGAGTCACAAAGTCCCACACAGAAGACAAACCAAAAGGAAAACAAAAAACAGAAGAGGGCGGGCGATCAACAGAACAAATGCTTCCTTTTTTATCAGTTTTTGGAGCATGTGGAAGCAACATGAAAATGCATTATAAATTTGGATCATTACAGAATGCAAGTAAATGCAAACTGTTGATTGAGCTGTAATTTGAAAAGAAAAAACAAAACAAATTGAAGAGGTGACTTTGATTCTTTTCCCCAAATGAAATCATTTATGAAGAATGGAGGAGTTGTTTTGAATGGATATAGCAAATAGGATATGTTTTTGGAGCGTGGCTCATACTAGGGATTAAAATGGTTTGGCTTTCTGTTTTACATTACCCTCTGAGTATCCTGCTTTTAGTAGTAACATAATTATGAATGCCAGGATAAATATCCATGAGCTTGTAGGAAATGAGGTACTAAAATATCTAAATGCCCTTTTAACGTAGTCGCTCATAGAGTAATGAAGTCTGCGCAGAGCGGACTTCGGTAGGAAGTCAGTGGAGACACCACCAGTGTTTTTATCCCCAGGCACGCTTCAGGTCTTCCTGGAAATACTGAGCCCCTCCTTTTGCATTCACAGAGTGTGGTTTTTTTTTGGGTTTCTTTGAAAGTGTAACAGTTAAGGTTTGGTCACGCAGAGGAAATCTGATTTCTTCCCTCTCTGTACGATGATGTGATATCTGACTTTATCCACTCAGATCATCTCAGTGTGTTTGACACAATGCCATGAAGCTGGGGATGGGTGTTGACCATATGTTTGGACATGCTGCTTGTGATCAATGGCAGAGATGCTTAAAATGAGACTTGAGATGAGTTTGATAATAGTCTGTTATCTGTGTCAGTCTGGTCTTCTGGTGAGTCTGGCTTAACTGTGTCATGCACCAATGAGAAACATGTGGCTAATTCTATTAAAGTATCCATCATACTATATACTCTATATCATTTTGATTTGCTTTTGATTGCCCTTAAACATTTTTTAAGATAATTTTTAATCTTGCCATATTAGGATCTGCATAAAGCCCCACCCACCTGTTCTTCAAACAAGGGGCAGCCAATCAAAAGAAGGATGGCTTAACAGGAGAAGGAGAATGAGGGAGAAGGTGGATTACGTCAAAATGTCAGAAAAATATAGATTATTTTCAACTAAAGTCATGCAAAACTACGAGTCGAGCCCAAGAAGAGTTTTTCCTCCATAATTTGTTTTAAAATCTCTTATTTAATGTTGCCTGCAAACTGTGTAAAATACTATAAATGAACATGTCTAGGAAATGTGTAAAGCAATTACATAACTCAGGAATGTTTAGAGAGCCTTATTCTTTTTATGCTGTATAAAAATAGATCTCTCCGCCTGGTGCAAAGCATCTCTTGACACCTCACTTGGACAACATGATTTTCTGAGTCATGCCCATTTAAATATTTCAGACTATTCAACAAATTGCTATGTTTTAAGGTCAAAGCATCCTCTAAAGAAATAAATCTACTCCTCTTGCTGCCCTTTAGACAAAGTGCTATACAGTGAAAGTTTTAAATAATCCCTTTTCATTATGGTAACACTGCTGGTTATGATGTAATATTGTGTTTCTCTTATGTGCTCAGGGATCAGCCTGGCTCTGACCAGACCAGCACTGACCTCCTCAAGTGCAGCAGAAAGTTCTGCTGGTCCAGAGAAGCCCAGTACTTGTATCTTCGCCGCCTGTCTTCACGCAGCTTCTCGGCTATTATGATGGTACGTCTTTTACATAAACGTCCACACTGTATCTGATTTGGCCTCGAGTTATGTGATATTTTTTTGTTTTCCTTTCTTCACTAACACTACCTTGTGGATTGTGCCTTGTACCTGGTACTTTTTTGGTATCGAATGCAATAGATTGAGTCTTCAGTGAGCTAAGCCAAGAAAAAAAGGCGAGGACCGTCACTCGGCCATCACGTGTGACAATCGTGGCGTACAACATTAAAACTAACATTTTTAAATGACTTTGCTAGGACTGGTTCAGATACTCGACTGTTTGAGCCTAAACTCTACCCAGTGTCCAGTCTCTTACTGAACTGAGTACAGTTCTGAGCTTTATTTTGCTTTAGTTTCAGTTTGGTTTATTCACAAATCAATCAAAATATACATTCCAACATGATAGTCTATATGAGATGGTTATTTGTGAAATGGTCCTTCCTAAAAGCTAACCTCAACTTATAAATAGGGGCCAAAACATCAGATAATATACAGCAAATGTGTATAGAATTACCAATGTACTGTAACTAACCTAGTCACTAAAGTATCCTAAGGTAACCTTAAAGATCCTAACATATAACTAACACTGTTACACTAACCATCCATTAATACACTAACACACCAATACCTCTAGCTAGTTTCACATAAAAATAAGTGTGAATCTCAGGTAGAAAGCCAACCAGAGTTTAAAATCTTTCCCTTCAAATCTTGGTGTTTTTGTTTTCTCGTATTATATGTGTGAGAAGGATGAAATATTGGATAAGCTCACAAAGTCTTTTGTTAAATGTAAATACTACTCTATACATAGCACAGTCATTGTGAAATATGTTATATTCTTTTCAATTTAGAGGTTTGTAACCAAGAAAAAGGGGATCAGAAGGAGCATCTAGATTGGACCATAATATTTGAAGTCTTTTATTTGAAGTGTGTGTGTGTGTGTGTGTGTGTTATTTGATATGGGAAGGATAAGTATTGTACCATATAACAGTAACTTAAGTGAGGCTCTAATAACGATCGGTGTAAGTAGTTCGCTAATATCAACATAGGTAATTTTTTCATTAACTCATCAATATGCCTCTTAAAATTTAGAAGTTCATCAACATGAACCCCCCAGAATTTAGTAAGTATAACCCTTTCGATCATTAACATTTTTCTGATTTTTGTTTGAGTGAAATAATTTAATATCAACCGCTGCAAGACAAACTTGTTGTTGAAGTTAAAATTTGATATAGAGGTCCTCCCAGGCTTCAGACTCCCTCCCATTCACAACTGAAATCACCACACTGTAGTTTACTGTACTTTAAACATCTAGCAGTGAATCTAGTGGCTTTTCAATTAGCCGTTGTGCCGTCAGTGAGATCTCAGCCTCAGTTCTCTCTGCACCTACTCAATGTTAGTGACAGGAAAGAGCGAACAACAGCACTGATGACTAATCCATTTGCATATGTGCGGTGTTGTTTGATGGTTTGTTTCCCAGGTGGTGTGTGTGTGTGTGTGTGTGTGTGTGTGTGTGTGTGTGCGGAAAAAGGAGCTTTCGCACTGAAAGCTCATTTTGCATGTTAGCATAAAAGAAATCACAGTACAATCATTGTCTTTAATTTTATGGAGATTTTAAAGATAATAAATCAGACGCTAGTTATTTTCCAACCATGTTAAATTCCCCACAAAAGCATCAAAGTAAAGCTGATACTGCTGTGTTCGTGTTCATTTTTGTGGTATTAAAAGCTTTGGGGAAAACAAAGATTCAGTCATTTGTTTGCAGAGCTTTCTACAATGACCACAGTCACCACCTCTTGTTTTCTTGTGAAGGCTGTGTGGTGCCCTGTGCGAGAAGGAGGCGAACACAAGAGGCGGAAACCGAGTGAGGAGTTTGTTTTGTAGGGAGGGGTTCAGATTGGAGCTGCTGCTGTTTCTCAGCTCTGAGAATAGCCAGCTGAGGTTTGAGTCTGCACTGATGCTTACTAACCTTGCTCTGTGAAGGTGCAGTGCTTGTGTTGGGCTGCACGCACTTGTGAATGGCTTTTGGTGGAAATCCATGTGTTTGTGTATGACTAGGAAAGATTTGACTGTAAATATTATTGAAAAGCACATTGTAATGCATTATTCTTCTTCCCTTTTTTTTGTATTGTCAGTCGGGCAACATGGACGCAGGTTTGTGACTGCAATAACTCGAGAAGAAAGTGATTTTCAAATTCATACCATAGTTGCATCTGCTTAAAAATCCCAAACATGTACAGTGGGGCAAAAAAGTATTTAGTCAGCCACCGATTGTGCAAGTTCCCCCACTTAAAATGATGACAGAGGTCAGTAATTTGCACCAGAGGTAC